ACCCGGAGAGCCCCACCCCATAGCCCCTGAAGCTCCCACCCCGGATACCCCCACCCCGCAGCCCTCCACGCCACAGACCCCCGTCCTGAAGAACCCCATCCTGGAGATCCACACACACAGCCCCCCACCCCGGAGACCCCCACCCCATGCTCCTAGAATCAGCTGTAAAGGAATATAGGGATTAGTGGTCAATCACAGGGATCTGGGTTCGAGAGGCCCTGAAATTTGGTGCAAAATTAGAGGGGTAGAAAAATGGCTATTGCTTACTCTCAAAGGTTTTGGGTGTCTCCAGAGTTAAAGCTTCCTGCTCCACTGTGCAGTGCAGAGGTTGCCCTCTCTAGCCCTGGGGAGCTAACCTGGGGTCATATCTGGCCTCATTTAGAAACAGGCGATGCATGTTATTTTCAGCCTTCTGGTCCTCATTCGTTTTCATGGCGATCGTCCTGCCTCAGCTTCCAGAAAGCTGGGATTTCAGGAATGAACCCCCACCCATACTTATCCTTTCAAATGGGAACTGTAAAAATCTCTACTAAGTAGGGTTGCTATAAAGAGATTATATAAAATTCCAGTACAAGCCGGGCGTGGTGGCACACGCCTTTAGTCCCAGCACTTGGGAGGCAGAGGCAGGAAGATTTTTGTGAGTTCAAGGCCAGCCTGGTCTACATAGTGAGCTCCAGGACAGCTGGGTCTACAAGAAGACCCCGTCTCAAAAAGACAAAAACAAAACAAAACAAAACAAAACAAAAAAACAACTTCTAGTACAAATCTGACAGGAGCAGGGGTGCTATAAATGGTGCTATTGGGCTGGAGAGATGGCTCAGCAGTTAAGAGCACTGGCTCTTCTTGCAGAGGACCTGGGTTCAATTCCCAGCATCCACAGGTCTCGTAACAACTTTCCATAACTCCAGTTCCAAGGGATCTGACGCCCTCACCTGACCTCTGCAGGCATTGCATGACACGGGTGCACTTACATATATGCAGGCAATGCACTCATACACATAAAATAAAAACAATAGTTCAATATCGTATAACTGTATCCATTCACTGTGACCTAAAAAATTTATAGCCACTTTTGAAAGAGATGTATCTTTGCTCTGGAAATTGTTATTGAGTATGTTAAAGCTGTAATGAAATGCTTCTTCTAAAAAATAAAAAAATAAAATAAAATAAAATAAAAAAATAAAATATTTTAAAAAATAATGCCAGGTGTGGTGGCGCATGCCCTTAATCCCACCACTTGGGAGGCAGAGGCAGGCAGATCTCTGTGAGTTCAAGGCTAGCCTGGTCTATGTAGTGAGTTCCAGATCAGCTGGGGCTACAGGGAGACCCTATCTCAAAAGGACCAAAATAATAAAATAATAAATAAATAAATAAAGAGATAAATGGTGTGGGGCTGGAAAGATGACTGAGTTAAGAGCACTGGCTGCTCTTGCAGAGGACCCAGGTTCTATTCCCAGCACCCACATGTTGGCCAACCGTTGTCTAAACTCCAGTTCCAGAGGATCTGACACCCTTTGGCATTGGCACAGTATGGGTACACTTACATATATACAAGAAATACACTCACACACATAAAATAAGATAAAATAAAAATAAAAATAAATGGTGCTATTGGTCCAGGGTGAGGAGGGGCTCTGCTGTCTCTGGGGTAATAACAGTCTTTGGAGTACTCACCTGTCAGGGGTGGAAGCAGATTCCTCTCCTCAGAACCATGCATTGGTCTCATTGGTTCTGGCTTCATGACGGACTGGATTGTTGCTACTTCAGTCACTGAGCCTCACATTTGAAGACTAGCCCCAACCAACCTCTCTTTCCCTCCGGTTCATTATTTCCAGCTGTCGTCATCACTCAACTGTTCCACATGGTCAGGTCCTCATCTAACGGGATATTGTAACTGTCTCCTGGCCCTCTCTGGCCTGTCACCTCTTTAGCACAAGGTGGTGTCCAAGAGGGGACAGTATACCTGGGGCAAGGACCTCTTCCCCCAGAGGACAGCAGGCTTCCCTTCTAGTTAGGTTTTCTGACTTCAGGGGACTTCATAATGAGCTTGTGGACGAAGCCACCAGGTCTTTCTCACCTTTCCCTTCCTTCTTCCCTATTCCCTCCTTTCCTGTCTTCCTTCCTTTTACCCCCCATCTTTATTTTCTTTTTCTCTTTTTTTCTTCCTTTCTCCTCTTCCTGTTTCCTCCCTTTCTCCCCGACTCCCATCGCTGTTTCTGTGTCTTTTTCTTCCTCTTCCTCAGCACAATTGTTTCCGCTGGGAGCCTCCTTTTTAAAGGAAGGGTCTCAAGCTGGCCTTGAACTCACAATCCTCCCACCTCAGACGCCTGAGCAGCTACCTGGGAGTAGATTGGGATCGCATGCATGTGACACTGCCTCTGGCATCTCTTTCTTTTTTACAGAAATTTCCACCTAACCAGATTTCCCAGTCCTATTCTTATGTAACCAATTTTTTTTGGAAGCTAAGCACAGGATTTAGCACTCATCCTTGGTGAATTTCATCTTGTTGGTTTCAACCCAATTTTACAATCTGTCAAAGCTGCCTTGAATCTGCTTCAGTTGCCTATTGTATTACCACCATCACTACCACAGCCAGAAGCCATCTGCAGGGCAGAAGAGCTTGGCTGCCTCTATTCGAGGAGCTCTGCACATCACCAGGCAGCCCAGGCTAGGATGGAGCTGAGACACCCCAGAGAGACCTCCTCAGCTTTATCAGAAGCATCCAAGTCTAAATCCCAGCTGCTGAGATCCAGCTCACATTTCTGAATGTCTGTAAGAACAAATGCCAAATGCTTTGCTGGATCAAGATATGTGGCCTGGGCCATCCAACTGCCATGACTGGCTTGGGAGGGGATTTGGCTGCTGTTCAAAGATCAGGGTTTAATCTTTTCTTAAATGTTCACAGTCCCCCAGCTAAAAACCTGTTCTAGAACTTGCCATGCATGAATGTCAAATTATTCTTTTCAGAATTTACCATTTACCCCTTTGAGTAAAATCAAGTTTCAGCAGCTCTTGTGAGGTGAGTCTTCACCTATGGCTTCCTGCTTCCCCGGACATTTAGCATCAAGTTCAATGTTCAATGCAGGGCTGCAAGGTGTGTCTGCTCACCTGCCACCGCCTGCCTCCCTAACAGATACTTCCCCTGGGCCCCTCACCACCGATCTCTAGTCACAAGGCCCCCTTCATGAACTCACAAAACCTGCTCCTACCTCAGCACCCTGCACTGGTTGCTCCTTCTGTCCGGAACACTTTACTCCCATGGGACAGTCCGGCTCACTCATTCCTCTGCTGACCCATCAGGGACCCTTCCTTAACTACTCTTGAAAACCTTGGAAAGTGGCAGTCCCCCAACACCCATATGTGTTCTATTGCTCTCCTCCTCCTCTTCCTTTTCCTCTTCTTCCTCTTCTTTCCCCTTTCTCTCTTCCCTTCTCCCCTCCCACCTCCCCCCCCAGTACTGGGGAATCAACTCAGGGTCTTTTTTTTTTTTTTGTCTTTTTGAGGCAGGGTCTCCCTGTAGCCCCAGCTGGCCTAGAACTCACTATGTAGACCACGCTGGCCTTGAACTCACAGAGCTCTGCCTGCCTCTGCCTTCCAAGTGCTGGGACTACAGGCATGTGCCACCACACCCAGCTCTCAACTCAGGGTCTTTTTAAAAAAATTTATTTATTATTTTTGTTTAATTTGTATAAGTGTATTGCTTGCATGTAGGTAGGTGCATCCATGCCATGCAATGCCCGCAGAGGTCAGAAGAGAGAGTCAGAGCCTCTGGAACTGGAGTTATAGACAGTTGTTAGCTGCTATGTGGGTGCTGGGAATTGAATCTGAGTCCTCTGTAAGAGAAGTCAATGCTCTTAACTGTTGAGCCATCTCTCCAGCCCTCAACTCACGGTCTTGTACATACTAGGCAAGTGCTCTATCACTGGATTATATCTCTAGCTTTCATTTTATTTTTATTACTTTTTAAAAATTTTGTCTTTTTGAGACAGGGTCTCCCTACAGGGAGACCAGCTAGCCTAGAACTCACTATGTAGACCAGGCTTGGCCTCGAACTCACAAAGATCCACCTACCTCTGCCTCCCAAGTGCTGGGATTAAAGGTGTGTGCCACCAAGCCCCGCTTTTTTTTACTTTTTTACGGTAACAAAAATAGAGATAGTTTATTAAGAAGGAAGAAAGCACTCTAAGAATAGCAGTGGGCTAGTGAGCTGGGAAAAGGCATATGTTAAAAGCCTTTTTTTGAGACAAAGTTGTATATATGCCAGGCGTGTGTATCTGAGGATGACCTTGAACTTTTGATCCTATATACGGTGCCATGAACTAAACCCAGGGCTTCCTAAATATCAAGTAGCTCTACAAACTGAGCTACACCCCCAGCCCTATTTTTTATTATTTTTTATTTTGAGACATGGTCTTAATAAGTTGCCCAGACAGGCCTTGAACTTGTGCTTGTCCTGCTTCCGCCTCCTGAGTAGCTGGGATTACAGACCTGTGCCACCAGGCCTGGTCCCTTTCCTTGGTTTTCATTCACTGCCCGGGCTAGCAGTGACCATGCATTTATTTTTTGCTTTACTCCTTTTTTCCACTTGAATGTTAAGTTCCATAGGGCAAGGACTTTCTTTGTTCACTGCTCAGCCCAGCTCTCGAATAGTCCCAGCACATAGTTGTTGCTCAAAATCTACTTCTAATTTTTTATCTAAAAACTATTTCTGGAACATATGAATCAACAACCCCACCCCCACCCCAGGGAACACCCTACCTCTGTCTCAGAACTCCAGCCACCACAGCTGGAAAGCCTCCTTCCAATCTTCACCCCCGTTCCTAGCAGGAGACCCATGTTAGTAGGAACAGTGCCAGGGCGACATCTTCTGGTGTGACACTGTCCTCCTCAGGCTGAGACAGCCAGCCTTCCTGTCCCTCTTCATTCAGAACATAGCTTTAAAGGCCTTTTTTGGGGGAGAAGGAGAGGAAGAGCAGGACATTTTCCCAAGTCTTAGATCATACTGAGGTTTGCCCCTCGCCCCACCCCAAACATCATTAAAGATGCGCAGTGTAGGAGCTGGAGAGATGGATGAGTGGTTAAGAGCACCGGCTGCTCTAGCAAAGGACCTGGATTTGGTTCCCAGCACCCACATGACAGCTAACAACCGTCTGTAACTCCAGTTCCAGGGGATCTGATGCTCTCTTCTGATCTTTGTGGACACTGCACATATGGGTGCACTCAAATACATACAGGCAAAACACACATACACACACACAATAAACAAAATTTAAAAAAATTTAAATTCTTTTTTAAATGCACAGTTAAAAACTGCCAACCAGGGACCTTCTTTCTCTGGTGCTCCCCCACCTCATGCCACCTACCCCCAAACAGTTTTACCAGAGGCCCTTCCACCCTTCCTCTCCTGCTCCCCCACAGCCATTTGCAAACTCACTGGCAGAGTCTCACTCTGCTCAAACTGCCACCAGCCTTGGTCCCCAGAAATATCCCTTCAGTTCCCTCTTTTCTCCTCTAACGCCAAGAGGAGGCAGAATTGTGACTGTTAGGGCCAACCTGTTTATTAGGCAATAGGAAAGGGGGTGTGCCCACTCTGTTGAGAGGGGAAGGCTCCCAGGGAACAGTTCCAACTCCTGGAGGAATGAGCAGGGGCAACTGAATGGAGATGAGGGGTGACACAGGCACCACCCCAGCCTTTCTCAGGACTGAGTAATGGTGCTATCACTCTTCCTCTTCATCTTCCTCCAGAGGTGGTCGGTTCCGTTTGAAGAAGCCCACCTAAGGGGGCACAGGGGATGGGGTCAGAGCACAGAAATCAGGTTCCAGGCTCCAGAGTGACAGTGAGGACATACACTAGAAACCTAGAAGTCAGTCTGCCACAAGGTCCTCTCCCTGGAGCAGCACAGGCCTTGGACCCTCTATACCTACAGAAGATCTTTCACTGTTTAGAGACATGCCATGGGGCTACAGCCCTAGACTCTGAGAAGCTGGATTTGGTTTGTGGTTGTTGTTGTTTTGATCTAGAGGTGCTTCCTCTTTAATTTTTTTTTTTTTTTTTTTTGGTCTTTTTGAGACAGGGTCTCTCTGTAGCCCCAGCTGTCCTGGAGTCACTATGTAGACCAGGCTGGCCTTGAACTCAGAGATCCACATGCCTTTCTCTGCCTCCCAAGTGCTGGCATTAAAGGCCACCACACCCAGCCCAGAAAATAACATTCTAATAATAAATATGTAGGTAGGACAGGTCCTGTATCTCCCTTTCTCCCAGCCTGTGACCCCTTCGAACTCTGCCTCCTCTTCAGGCTCACCTTCCACATGGCCAAGACTAGAAGGGTGAGCAGCAGCAGGCCGCCCAGCACACCCACCAGCACCCACCAGATCGGAATGGCCCTTTCTTCCAAGGCCTGAAACAGTTGTGTCTGCACCTGGGGGCAAATTGGGTGTCATTCGCCATTCACAACTAGGGGCCTGACCAGGGTAGGGGAAATGCCCAGCCAAGCAACCTCCCAGTAACCACACATCAGTCCCAGGGAGGCCCCGCCCCTCATCCCTGGAAAGGCTCTGCCCCACGCTGGCTGGGCGCTGATGGGGAGAACAAGGGTCTTTCAGGTTGTCTCACGCAGTCCGGCTCGCTCACCAGAGCTTGCCCGCTGGGCAGGCTGACCGGCGGCACCGCGTAGGGTAAAGAGGAAACGTTGAACCAAGCGTGCGACTGAAGCACAAACTGCTCCTGAGGCCTCTGCAGGGGGCGGGAATGACAGCCACTTGCAGCAACCACAGAAGGCCTGTGGGTGGCGGGAATCCAGGCCCGGGACTCCCTGATGGGAAGCTCCGCCTCATTTTAGCCCCGCCCCTCCCCAGGCAAATTCCCACCCCGGCTCCACTGATCCAGTCCTGGCCCTGCCCACCCGCTTCTAGTCCCACCTGGCGAAGGCTGGACAGTCCCAGCATGGCCAGCACCGTGACAATGGCCCGCTGCCCGCGCACCATCTCCGGCAGCTCACACTGCACCACTGTACAGGGCGCCGAGTTGCAGCTCTGAGGGGATATGTCTTTAAGTCCCCAGCCCCTCCTGCCTATCATCCCCCATCAACCAAGGACCCAACACTGAGAAGGCCAGGAGGATCAGGCAGCTCTGGCCTGCTGCTGGGGATGCTTCAGACGGTATCTCACCTATCAGTTTGCTCAACAGTCCCAGAGATGTAGGGACGAATCCAGAAGGCGGGAGTCAATCCACAGCCTTCAGTGCCCAGTGTTTTGTAACCTTTCTTTAGCACTTCTTTAAAATAGAGGAAAGCTTAAAAAATCCAGGTGTCCCCTAGCCCACCCTGCCAAATGCCAGTCCAGCATCGTCTTGGAGTACTTCGTGGAAACGAGGGTGGCCCACCATCACACCCCCAACCGCTCACCCTGCCTCCCATCTCCTCTGGCTCCTAGACCCCCCAGGGAGGCGCCAGCTGAAGCCCACAGAGCCTCTCACCTCGAGAACTGGGTTCTGCTGCCCAGGCTGCTCCAGCTCCTGTAGGAACGCCTGTCTGCGCTCACGCTTGTGATGGACAGTGCGAGTAGGGGAAGGGCTGGGAGTGGGCAGCCTCCAGTGCAGCTGGGGGAACAAGATTGCAGTCAGTTCCCTTCCAGGGTCTGCACCACCACCCCTGGGGTGAGATGACTGTTGCTCCTCCCTCCCACAGGTCCTCCTTCCGCCAGAGGCTCACCTTGAGGGGGTTGGGAGAAGGCTGTGGGGAGCACAGGAGACCCCCGTGGGGCTGTACGTCCATGATATAGAGCAGGTCAGAGGGTTGGGACTGGCCGGGGAAGTAGATGTTGAGGCGGAGGCCGCTCACAGTGCCAGGGCCGTTGTTGTGGAGCTGGGGCATGAAGATAGTGGGGTGGCAAGTGACCCTTCCTCCACTCCCAACCTGCAGCTTCCAGAACCTTCTCTCCCCAACCTCATGGAAAGCTCCTCCCTACCTCATAGGTGTGTTCCACCCTGGGGGCCCAGTGGTCCAGACCAGTCTGCTCCCTGTCACCTTCATCTGCTGCCACCACCAGGGATGCTGGGAAGGAATTCCTGCAGTGTCCAAGCCCCCAGAGTGCATCTGACTTTCTGAGGGACCTGTGGTGGAACCTCCAGAGCCCCTTAAACTTCACATTGTTTTGCTTTGTTTTTGTTTTGTGAGGTACTGGGGATGGGACCCAGGGCCTTGCACATATTAACCATGCACCATACCCCTGAGCTACACCCCCAGCACCTCCTCTGAACAGTGGGGCTCTGTCTGCCATTCCCTGTCCTGGTCTCTCACCCTAGGAGCTCCACTGTGGCGGCTGCTTGAACTTGCACTTGCAACAGCACAGCTTCACTGTTTGGATTCTGACTGTTCTTGCTGGAGGAGAGAGGGTGAAAAGAAGTCACGTGAGGGACATCAGTCCACTGACCGCCTGAGGTGGAGCTAGAACTTTAGCGGGTTCAAACCCCAACAGCACACCACATGGGAAAGATTTTTGCATAGGGCAGACTCTGAGGAAGAAAGGGAACAGACCTTTCTGTGTCGTGGGGTCTCTGCATGAGGGTCAGAAGGGAGAAGGGTGGGAGGTGGGCACGCTGCCCAGCTTCATACCTCCTGACCTGCAGCTTGAAGGACACATACTCTCCAACCTCTTCCAGGTCCTCTACACTCACCAACATTGTGATTCCTATCTGGAAGAGAGAAAAGCCAAAATCACCACCCCAATGTCCTCTCTGAATGTGACCTCCAGTCCTCCCCCTTCAAAGACACCACTATTTTTTTTAGTGTTTTACTTATTATTATTATTATTATTATTATTATTATTATTATTGGTCTTTTTGAGACAGGGTCTCCCTGTAGCCGCAGCTGTCCTGGGACTCACTGTGTAGACCAGGCTGGCCTTGAACTCACAGAGATCCGCCTGCCTCTGCCTCCCGAGCGCTGGGATTAAAGGTGTGCACCACCACGCCTGGCCTTTACTTATTATTTTTATTTTATGTGTATGCCTGTATTGCCTGAATGAAAGTGCACTCGTGTTGTGCAATGCCGGAGGAGGTCAGAAGAGGGAGTTGGATCCCCTGGAACTGGAGGTAAGACGGTTGTCAGCCTCCATTGTGGGTACTGGGAACCGAACTGGTCCTCTGCAAGAATAGCCAGTGCTCTTAACCTCTGAGCCATCTCTCCAGCCCCCAAGATACCACTATTATCTCCCATTTTCCCTAGAAGCCTACTTACCCTGGAATGCATCTAGAGTTGAAGGACCATGTGATTCCCATTCAGCACCCCCCCCAATCTGGTGTCCCCTGGCCGACGTAAGGGTGGCCTCACCTGGGCATCTTTCTTCATGGGGTTGCCCAGCTCGCACAATGCCACCCTGGTCTCATTCTCTTTCCTCTGGTTGCAGATGAGTCTCTCGAAGCCCTGGGGGAGCAGCACACAGACAGGTGGGCTCAGAGCAGCTCTGGGGTCCACCCCTGCTGGTCTACAGAAGGCTTGCTGGCTAGGCCGGGGAGAAGGTTCTGGGGGAACTTCAGAGGACTGCCACCTTGTATTTCTGTATTGCTGTTATCACTCTACTATCTTTAAAGGATTTTCATTTTGGAAATAAAAAACAAACTATTACATAAGTGAGCTTGTTGCTATAAACTACATCAACAAAATAAAGATGAGTGTGGTGGCTCACAGCTTCAATCCCAGCACTTGGGAGGCAGAGGTAGGTGGATCTCTGTGAATTCCAGGCCAGCCTGGCCTACATAGTGAGTTCCAGGCCAGGGTTATATGGTGAGACCATATCTCAAAATGATGATGATGATGATGATGATGAAGAAAAGGGTGGGGTTAGGGTTAGTAATAGAGCAGGTGCCTAGCATGTGCAAGGCCCTGGGCTCCATCCCCAGTACTGAAAACAAAAACCATCAAGCACAGATCAGTCAACATTCCAGCAAACAGCACTGATTTGACTCAGTGTACTTTAAAAACAAAAAGAGGAGAAGATGTGAAGGCGAAAAGAAGATATGTGTGGGGAGTGTTGTTGTGTGGGGGAGTGTTGTGTGGGGGGTGTTGTGTGGGGGAGTGTTGTGTAGGGGAGTGTTG